CTTGAAAATGCTAATGTGCGTCGTCGACTACTTGCAAAAATGTGTCTGCGTCAACTTGAAATAAAAAAAGGAAAGACACCTAGGGGGCTCGTTTTGCGTCGACAACTTGATAACTGTAAGTTGCTTCGTCTACTAGGGGGACTTGTTTGCTTCGACAACTTGGAAAATGAAGTGTCGTCGTCTATAAATTAAGGAACTGCGTCAGCGACAAATACGCTGTAGTGTGTTAGTGACTTCTACAAATCATCACCCGTTAAATCGCGACTACTACAACTCGCTTTGCGACAACTACTAATTAATTAGCGACGACTGTGAATAAGTTTGGCGCTGATTGCTACTACTACAATTGGTAAACGTAGACATCGGAAATCGCGCTTTTGTTGAAGAAGCAGCAAAATTTTGAAGCTATATGTTTTACCATGCAATTTATATTGACGCAGCAGGGTCCCATACGGCTTTCCATACAAAACACTACTGAGTTACATATGATACCTGTCAATCATGAACAAAAGCTTGCGATCATCAAACAATATGTACGTCGGCGCACCACTTCTATTTCAAAAAGACATCAAAAAACGTTACAAAGTGCTCTCAACTCAAATCAACTCACAAAGACAAAAGATACGCAAACACTAATTCATGACAGATGCATAGTTTACAACACTATGTACAAATTACATCTGACAGTTCATACTTCACATTGAAGAGCAAAATATATAACATATATGGGACATTAGTGGATTTTTATTGTGTTGGTGGTCAAAAAACACTTATAACAACACTGGGTCGCGAATAGAAAGTCGACGTAATGCGTTTAAGAAATTCCTACGGCATTTCAAGCGGGGTCGGTCGCAGAGCCCCGTTTGAAATGACTTTTGTTATTTCACAAACACATTGAGGCATTTGATTGAACCATAACAGTTTAAAATCAAAGAAAGCTTAGTAAAAACTCCCGTGTGCTGAGAGTATTGAAGACACATTAAAAATTAATTAAAAATTACTTGTACTTGAGATATTGATGGAATAGCTGAAAACTAATTATGTAAATCAGGTAACTGATATGAACAGATTTGAGTGTAAAACTAATAAGGCCTGCGTAATGTAATATATATGTACCAAGTTTCATTGAAATGTGATTAGAACAAAAAACTATGAATTATTATTAGAGAATTAATATGAACAAATTTCAACCCAAAATTAATCGGGCCTGTCTATTGTTCTAGAGAATTTATGTACCAAATTTTATTTAAATGTGATGATCATTAATTGAGATATCAGTGTTAATTATTTATTTAGGTTTTATAATTAATAAGCATAAATATTTACCAAAAACTAATTGGGTCTCTGCATAGTTCCAGGTTCATTGAAATGTGATGATGTATACTCTTATGAAAGTTTCAATAAAATCCAATTAGTGGTTCTTTATATTTCAGTGGAACATTCATGGAAAAAAATAACTAATTATGCGAATTAGGTAATTAATATCCACAATTATTTACCCTAAAACTAATTAGGTATATACCTAGTCCTAGAGGATCTATGTAGCAAGTCTCATTGAAATATGGTGAGTACTTGAGTTATCAAGCGAAAAGCTGAAAATTAACTAATTATACTAATAAGGTGATTAATATGCACAATTATTTACCTAAAACTAATCAGGGGTCTGCACAGTCTTTAAGTAACTATGTACCATGTTTCATTGAAATGTGATGATTACTACTTGAAATATTAAAAATTAAAAAATAATTAATTATGCAAATTAGGTAATTAATATGTACTGATATTACACTAAACACTATAAGGTCTGTGCAGTGTCCTATGATATCTATGTACCAAGTTTTATTGAAATGTGATGATTAGTACTTGAGATATTAGTGGAAAAGCCAAAAATTGATTAATAATTATGCAAATTAGATAATTAATATCGCACGGATTTTTACCCAAAACTGATCAAATCTGCGCATTAGTTCAGAGCATCTATGTGCCAAATTTCATCAAACGGTTCTTTAGATATCAGTGGAACAATCATGGAACAGCTTAAAATCAGCTAATTATAATGCAAATCAGGTAATTAATATGAATGGATTTTTACCAAAACCTAATCAAATCTGCGTATTGGCCCAGAGCATCAATGCACCAAGTTTCATCAAAAATCAATGTATGGTTCTTGAGATATCTGTGGAACAGACACACAGACAGACACACTAACTGCAAAGACTCCCTTTTTGTGCTTCGCACACGGGAGTCAAAAAATATCAGGCCAGTCTACATCGCGAGATCCTGAGTACCACCTTGCCTGTAATTCCATTCTATTATAATAATAATGTTTTGTTACAAAGTCAAATAATGGTCAGTGGTTCGCAATACATCATCATAAGATGGCGGGGGAGGCTCGTCAGTTCTAGTTGAACTGCATGTGTCATTTTCCAACGGCGGTGCCGTTGGTGGAAGAATTTGTTCTTCAATTGACGAATTGTCTGCTTCACTGCTTTGTGATTGGCTATCTTCGAAATCGTCATCGTAATTGAATACGGTTCGTGGCGCTGCAATCTTCACAACATTTACGTAAGACGGGGGTGTGTCTAGTATTGATTTTCGATGATTTGGAGAATTGGATCTGAATTGGTTGGTATCATTTAGGGGTGGTGCCATTTCTTCGCTATGCGAAAAGTCGAAGTTACGTCGACCCAAAGACGCTGACTGTAAACTACTATCTTCGTTTTCATTGCCGTCATCGTCGTTGTTGTCGCTATTTACTGTTGCTGAAGTACTCTCATGATTGTCACTTATTGCAGATCTGTTAATAAATAAAAGATAGAAAATGAATTATAGTACAAAACAAAGACAACACTGTACTTCTCCAAAATAAGAATTTCTCATTGTGTTTTAGACCCTGTATAGTTGGGATATTTTTTTTATTTCTGTTTTATAGACACATAGGGCGCTACGGTAATACGAAAATCATAGTCACAAATAGTATGCAAATGAGTCTATTGACAGTTAGCTGTATTATGCAAATGAGTCTATTGACAGCTAGCTGTCTGATGTATTATGCAAATGAGTCTATTGACAGTTAGCTGTTTTATGTATTATGCAAATGATTCTATTGACAGTTATCTGTCTGATGTATTATGCAAATGAGTCTATTGACAGTTATCTGTCTGATGTATTATGCAAATGAGTCTATTGACAGTTATCTGTCTGATGTTTTATGCAAATGAGTCTATTGACAGTTATCTGTCTGATGTATTATGCAAATGAATCTATTGACAGTTATCTGTCTGATGTATTATGCAAATGAGTCTATTGACAGTTATCTGTCTGATGTATTATGCAAATGAGTCTATTGACAGTTATCTGTCTGATGTATTATGCAAATGAGTCTATTGACAGTTATCTGTCTGATGTATTATGCAAATGAGTCTATTGACAGTTAGCTGTCTGATGTATTATGCAAATGAGTCTATTGACAGTTAGCTGTCTGATGTATTATGCAAATCGTCTATTGACAGTTAGCTGTCTGATGTATTATGCAAATGAGTCTATTGACAGTTATCTGTCTGATGTATTATGCAAATGAGTCTATTGACAGTTAGCTGTCTGATGTATTATGCAAATGAGTCTATTGACAGTTAGCTGTCTGATGTATTATGCAGCATCAAAATAGTCATGTGACTATGACTTACTGTGTGGCTCATATTTTCATAATTTTGGCAGGACGGCCACTATAAGGTGTTGGGTACTGTGCCACTGTGTGGTTTTATTGTTTCTGGGTTTGAATATACAAATCCGATTAAGATCTCTGTTCATTGTTGTATGGTGATAAAGGGTGGCGATTTTCGCACCACGCATGTGCAAGATATGGGTCCCATATAAACAAACAAGTACACTCAAACTGAGAGGTTATCAAGCTTTAATTAGGTATTTTTTGCTGATTGAAAAGAGTCGCCGACGGTAGTGAAAGTGAACCCGTACTCCTGATTTCAATCGGAAAGCGCATTGGATTGTGTCGCACATGCGCGGCTCGACTATCGCCGCACATCAAATAAAGTATACATACTCCAAAATTTCGCCTGTTGTCGTTCCATTTAAAGATTGCAGAGAAACTGCTGCTTGATTGCTCGCTTCATTATTGGTGCTTTTACATTTTCCTTTAATGTGTGATGCCAATAGTGAACAAAAGAAAAATACTAGCATTCCTACGATGGGACCCACCAAAGCGAATGCTGGAAATCCTGTGTGGAACAAATATTATTGCTAATTAAATATCAACGTATATATTATATCAACAGAACTTGGAACGAGATCAAACGTACACAATTATATATAATTGGCTGTTTAATATTGGAACGGGTTTGGATATATTATATTGATAAAACTTGAATTTGAGTCATCCATGCACACAGAATGATAGATGATGACATTTCACTGGCTCAGTGGGAACAATATTTATAAAGTAACCAACTTGTATATAACCATACCTTTTTCGTGAGGTGTGTCAAAGCCACAGAAGTCATAGCCATCAACTAGCCATACGCTAAGTGAAATACAACGACCATCGCTACATCTAACATCATTGTCATCAATACATGACTCGTGAGTCTCTGTAATAAAGTGTTACCTCATCATCAGCATTAACATAACGACGTCATTTGAGGACGAACAACATTTTATCCCAGATTGTGAATTTCTTGATAAAGAAAGAGAGGAGCTGTTTCGGGAAATAGGAATTAAAAATAAACTAAATAAAACAGACAATTTCATTAAAATAATGACGTGTAGACGTGTTTCATGAAAAACAGAAATCAGGTACATGAAAGCTATCACCTCTACATTGGGAGAATCCTGTAAATGATATAGAAAAATAACAGGCCCCCTTTGCAAATTAGCATGTACACCCATGGAAAACGTCCCGTGAAATTGTTTTAACTGTACAATGGGCCGTTGAACTGAAGGTGTTGACAAGTAAATAAACCACCCCAGTCATGAACTTGCAAATTCTTGCAAGGTACCTTGCACGCGCCAGTGATTTGGGGTCGCGACCTACTTAGATCCATGAGTCAACGGCGTAGTCAACAAAGAAAACATCTACATCTATTTCTGGCCTTTATTGTGGGTTATTGAGCTTATACCCGAGAAAGGCAATATTGTACATTTTTGTAAACAAACAAAATCGGTGTAAATAGATGTGATACGATTTAAGGGATGTTGGCTATGTAGGCGGCCAAGCAAAAACCCTATAAAAAGGCGTAGTGGGCAGCCCCAAAATTTGTCTTTTGAAGCTGGGAAGAGGGAAGCAGAGTCCTTGCCAGATTGAGAACGGAACTCACTGAATCTAGCCAAGATTTTGTTCATAGTTGTTAGACTAGGAGTTTGTAATTGGCAATTGAGACCGTGTCTTGAATCACATGATTTGGGTAAGCTCACTTTAATTAAATCGTGATATTTGTATTGCCCTTGTGAGATATAAACTTTGCTTCTTTCCTTTCAACTTCAAAAATCCGGTATAAAACAGTCCCTTTAAACAAATGCTATATTTTACGTGACGGGACCTAGGTGTGGTATTAATATACCAGAATAGTTTCTTATTGGGAAGATAATTTCCCATGATTTATTGACAAGAGATTGTAGATGATGCGTGTCTTAGTGTTGTGATACTTGTATGCCTTGCGACCCCATAAACAACTTGAACTTTAAGTAGATTTGATTGTTGCTACACACCGTAGGGGTTAGTAGGTTTAGCTGTGAGAAATTGTTTCAGTCACCAAGTTACGGGTGTCTAACTCTCGTTCGACGTATCAGGTTCATTCCCTGGTAAACAGTGGCATCCCGTTAGAGATAATGTTTTGATATGCGTTAAGTGATCGTAAACTTGTAACTGTCCTTATGTGAGAGGCATGTAGTGAGATCGGATGACGGCGAATAGACCTAGCTCGAGCCATTCCATTATAGGCCGTTCGTTTCATTAGAGAGCGCTAGAGCGTTTCATTAGAAAGCGGTCTTAGCGATCTAGTGACAATGACATGTGATCAATTCAGCCAGACGTGTGATCACCTGACAATTGATCGGGATGATCCCGGGACCCGTCGTAGGCGGCAGTATTTTCATTCGAGGTCAATTTTGGATCACCAGATCATTCCTAAACGCGTGAGTCGAGAATCAATTTTAAGTGCCAGAAATCATCCAAAGACGCTTATTTGGGTATAATTTGCGCTGTCAAGACAAAGTTCAGGCTGATAAAATAAGATTGACGACGTTTTCCCATGAGAAAAAAGTGAATTATTTGTTGAAAAAAGCGGAGAAAAATTGATACGCAGAAATCGTGACGTTGACTCTACGCATGCAATGCAGCGTCATGGAAATTGTCTACAGTACACGTACACGCATCTTTCGATGACGTGATTATTTGCCAGCCAGCCCAGGACGCCGTACAGACATTATACTAAGGGCCTTGGTATCCAGACGATCCGGCCCTGGTCGGTTGCGGCCCTGGTAAAAAAAAAGACGATCCGGCCCTGGTTTGGACGTTCCGGCCCCAAAACAGTTTGGTCGATCCGGCCCTTGTATAAATAATATTTGATACGTGTTCATATCTAATGTCAATATATTAAATACACAACGAATGATTGACTATCTTGTTTAACAACTTTTGCACTATCAAACACGGTGTTAAATCGTAAAAAAATGCCCTGCAAAAGACGAAAAATAAGTTGTTAAACAAGATAGTCAAACATTCGTGTATTTAATATATTAACATTAGATATGAACACGTATCGAATATGCTTGAATGCACGGTAGTGCTTTCAGCATCATCTCACTAGTTATTTACAATGTGCTCCAAGATTTGATTCAGTTTATGGAAAGTCCAATCATTTCCAAAGCATTTCAACAATGTTCTTCCTATTGAACATTCCTCTACTCAACACCTCAATCAAATCATTAATTACAATATATAATCCTTACCACTTGTTTTTTTATTTTCTTCCAGGCGAGATAATTAAACCATCACCTGTATCTCCTATTGGTTCAACTTTTTACTTTATTCTTACTCGAATTTTTTTGTAAACTTGTTGTATATTGATGGTTGAGATAAAAAATAAAAACTTTATTTTTTCCTTGTTCATTACAGACGTTTATTCTATTCACACTATTTTTACATGGTTGTCTTCCAACTAGTCATGCTGAGTGATGTCTAATAGCAGCTGGCCAAATTACAATGAGTGGTGGGTGGGTCACAGTCAAGTACAAATAAGCCATTCACTGCCAAAGAACAAATATATCATTCTTTCCGATCAAGTACTTTAACCTCCCCCTCTTGATTCAAATGACATAACCAAAAGACTTAAGACATCACCTACTTCCTATAACACACAACACGATATTCACATAATTGTTCATACATGTATACATTATCACAGCAAAATCAATTACATAAATTTACCAATGGCTCCAGCAAATCATCTGCCCATATTAACTATAGCCTATTTTGTAGTCCCTCTAATACTTACATTTCGTGTTTCAATTACATAATGTTAGTCCAAAAATGTCAGCTTCTATTATTTGAACCACAGTCCCTCTATCACGTGATAGAGGAACTGTGTTTGAACACATTCCCATTATCAAGGTCACATTTGTATTGCGCTGGTCCCGCTAACTCTGGATACACGATATAACGGCAAATACCGTTAGGTTTAGCGAGTGTGCGAACGGTTACGAAAGAATTTGCTCGTTCGAAGACCGTTTTTGTAAAAGCGACAGCCTTGATCGATACACTGTTCATTTACACAATCTCCCCTCACACTGTCAGCGGGCTGAGTAAAACGCGCCCATGTCGTGGCATTGCCGATTACTGACGTAATCGATGTGTACATCTGTTCGAAGAGATAACGACCAAATCAATCATCACTAGCTCATTATAAATTCTTTAACCTGTGGAGTGTCTAATTTATACCTGATTGTTACCACAGCGCTGTGTACATGAACTGGATTTGGTAGTCTTTAGGCCTTATTGTGAAAACTTTAGCTTGAGTCTCTGACTGAGGGACGAGCCAAATATGTCATTGCTATGTCTTTTTGTGTATCTTTATTTTTGAAACAAGGAGATTTCTTTTGACTTAATTTCTTGTACCCCTTTATTACCAGTGTGTATTGTCTTGTAGTGTTTTATCTAGTAGTGTGTTATTCATTAAAACGTTGGATTCATGAATTAAAATAGGAAGTGACCTCTCCCTCTGCCATAACTATGTCCTCCCATCAAATTTGCACGATGTACAATGCAGTCATGTTTAAGTCTTCACTTTATCTATGTAATTGGGGAGGCGAATTGATTGGAACTATCAGGGGGAAATCTCTTTCTCTCTGGGGTCTCCACACTTGTCAGGGGGGAATCTCGTCTCGTCTTTCTATCTCGTCCCCTTGAGGTACGGGATCGGGAAAGTCACTTTAACTTTACAGTCAAATAAGACACACACAACGAAATACGTTTCAACTCTCGTCTTAGTCGATCTTTTGGAGCACTCTATAAAACACAGCGCCCTGGGGAAAAGTCCCCAAGACTCTCACAAGGCTGAACCAAGACTCGCCCAAGACTGGACTGCCTCAAGGCTCGCCCCTGGACTCTCTCGGACTCTCAGACTGCGTCTGTCGTGCTGTGTTCGTCAAGACCAACTCAAACTCTCTTTATTCATTTTCAAAACTCTAACCAATTACAAAACAGTAAAAAGACTCTAGGGCGTAACCTTCAATCATAAAGCCAATCATACTAAGTACTGAATACGTCATATCTTTTGATTAATCGTTCACTACATTAATAACTATGGATGTCAGAATAGCGACGGTATCTTGTAATTAGTTCCAAATCACTGAGCCAAGTTCCGTCCAAAACTTCAAATAGGCCTGAACGATGACAGACATAACACAGCAATTCAGCTAATAATCAACTAATTAAGTCGGTTAACAGATACGCGAAAACCAATTCATGACAGAACCACCACTCGGCTATCATTTATTACAACAGATTCTAAGACCCGCTCTCAAGTTTCCTAAACAGTGTTCGTGGGTACTGAGTTTTTTTAATGATTTGTATTTTATTCACCATACTGCGCCCTCTGATGGCATAGTAGTGTAATAAGGTTATTATTATTAATACACGACATATTGTATGTTCATTGCCATCGAAATGAGAAATACACTAGAACGATGATACCAGTCATATATGTGCTATACACGTGTCACACGCAACGTAATATTACCGTAATTGGTATAGTACAGGTGTGATGGTTCAAATACCAAAATGTCAACAGCAACAGAAAGACTTCCCTGGCGGCGATGATAACATACGAACACGGAGCCAACAGATGAGGTTTCAACTGGTACTGGTATTATTATACTCTGCAAACATCAAGTACAATAACGCGGTAAAACTCCACTACTCCAATGACTAGATACTTAAACTCCAATACAATTCAACGAGATCTCCGATCTGAACTCAGTGCTGAACAACTCCCCTATATATACCCCACTGACTATAAATATACCATTACATCAGCATACATAATGAGTCTGGAACTTACTACCAATTTCTAGAATGTTCCATTACCTTATATTGCCCCCTACAGTGTTCTATTACCTATTCAACCAGTTTCTAAAAAAAATCTAGAATATTCCACCCAGAGACAGTACGGTTCTAGAACATTCTCAGTGACACGGAAGTGGTAAATAAGTCGTATGTGACAACACGCCATATGAACAAAACAACTTGCATCTACTGCCTAACATAGTGACGTTGAATAGAATTAACATTCTTACCCACTTGATAGTAAAGCGAATATATTGCCTTGAATCCCCGTGAAGAAGATGTCATGACGTCATCACTAAGAAATAATATATCGATAGCGCTTCGTGATGTCATCTTTACTTCAGTTTCATAATTCGCTCCATCGCAGAACGTTATGTTTTGCCCGTCGGCAGAACTTACAACGAGTGAGTCCCCATCATAACAATCTGAAAATAAAATGACAGCATAGGTGAAACTGGAATTGCTATCTACACAAATGAATTGTTATAAATGCACGACAGTATTGTGATAGAGCAAATATGTCATTGATATTAGCATCAAGCGAATCTTCATAACGAGTTCAAACATCTGAATATGGAATTAATTATGCATACTTACTTTGTGTACCGCCATCATATACATCTATGTCAATAAATTTTAAATAAACCATATCGTAACGAAAAAGTGAACTTATATTGAGATGACAGAGTATTGGTGAAGG